AACGGGAGAAATATCGAAGGATTCGAAAATTAGAGAGAAATAAGTCCGGATTGTATTGAGTTGCGACGTGGAGAAAAATTTTCATCAACATTAACCTTGTTAGAGATTCTTAGGGTTTATATATCGGGTGTGTAAAGAGGAACAATCATTATATATCCAGTATTCTCATGGGTGCAAGAGAAATTTACATATAAGAACAGTTTTATTTAGAAAAAATTGCATAGAAATTATCTGATGTACAGCTTTCTCACCATTGTATAAAAGATTTTGTATGGGATAAAGCCTTTACAAATCAGTTACCATATGTGAACAAATCTCAACATCAAAGGGAAAATTCTTTTAGTAGGTTTGATAGCTGACTCATGTTTTAAGCATGAGGAAAAATTGTGTAAGTGTTGTTAACATTCATTTACAATTTGAATAAGAAAATTATTTTATTATTTATTTGGAATTTCGCGATATTGAAATTCGCAACAGTGGGGATTCTGAAATATTGCTGCGATAACCCCGTAGAAGATGGAGATATCGTGAATAAACGCGAAGTTATGCGAGAAAGAAAAGTACAAGAAACTGTCCAAATTCTTTTTTGTACACGTAGAGTGCTACTGTTATGCACAAAATTGCATTTGTGCTTATTATTTGCAATATGCGTTGATAAAGAGCGCTTTATCAATATGTGCTAACAAAGGCATTCAATCCATCCAATCGCTGAATCACATCTGCGAAGAATATATATATATATGCTTCACATAGCAGGATAATATCCTTTCTTTTCTATTATTCTTCAGATTGATGTAAATCTAGATTTTCAATCCTTAATTGGCACTCTTCGAAATGTAACTGAAGTTTTCGTCTTTGTGATGCCAAATTTATCTGTGTAAATGTTTTGATACCACTGATTTCAAGCTATGAATCACCTGAAGTATGCATCTACACGAATTGAAAAATATGATTATTTGAATAATTGTTTGGCAATTTTTGGCAATAATAAAAATGAAACAGTAATTTTGTACTTTTTTCAACTACGTTAATAAACATTTGTTTCATTTACTACGCCAAATGAAGAAAATTGACATTTAATGTTTAGAATATATAAATTGGACATCATTTTTTGACCAGTCGACAGATTTAATTATTTCTGACATCAATTTAGATTTTACGGAAGTTTTAGGTTTTAGAAGTTTTAGAAATGGAAGTTTTAGGAATGTATCATTGTAAATGCTACTAGTTAAGCAAAGCGGACAGTTGCAATGTTCTTTGCGATTTTCTTCCTTTTTTTTTTCTTGATTTGATCTGAATTCAGACATCAAAGACCCACAAAAGAATCAGGAAGATTTCTAGACACCGTCTATTGTCACTTCATATCGCTATCATTATTATCTGAGAAACATTATACAACTGGAAGAAATTCTGAAACGCAATATCTTTTGCGATTGAAGCCGAAAACATGAAACTTTTCTGGTTGGACCTTGTGCGTAACGTTATCTCACCGTTATTGTAATTAATGAAGGTTTGAGTAAGCAACAGGCATTTATTCACATTATAATATTTCTTGAAAGATTTTGATTTTTATTTAACAACTTTAATAATTCCATCTTATTTAGATACTTAGTTCACTCCAACGATCATAAAAATATTGCTGGTGGAAGTTTACTTACACTTGTTTTAGTTACACAAGATTTAACAACGTTGACTATTTCTCAGAATCTTCCTTATCATGATATAACATTTAATTATGATTGATCGCATGTCGTCCTGTTATCTTTAATACCTTCTTTCAAGAAAACTGCTTTCTTTCCCACTACATAATGTTCCGTCTAACTGAAGCAATCTTATCCATATGTAAAAACTGTATTTTAATATCCGAAACAATAAGAATTGGATGTTGGTGTGATGAAATAGGCATTAGTAAAAGTATTAAAATGCAATCATCTAAGATTTAATAAAAAAAAAAGCAAAATGAAATAATTTTCTGGTCAACTGCGCCGTACTCTCATTGTACAATGAAAAAATGTTTGTAGGAATTAGGGAGAGGCACTTTAACATATGGCACCAGCGATATTATTGCTTAATGAATTCATTTCGAAAATCAACATCTAAATAGCGAGTAAATAAATATGAATGACACATGTCAAATATCAAAATTAGGCATAAACTTAGATCGACAGAAATTCCACCACTAACGCTTTGAGCAAGATGCTAAATTTCACTTCTTTAAAATATAAAACCAAGAAAAAAATTTTGTATGATTAAGAATTACTGAAAAAATGTGTACTGCTTATTCATCATTTTTAAATGAAAGGTTTTGATTCAATGAGTAATCGAACGGCCAATCTTCCAAAAACTTTCATGGTAAAGCAAATATATCATCTCTTTCATATAATCAAAATCGTTAAACACTTGGAAATCGAAAAAGTAATAAATGAAATCTCAAGCTTGGGTTCAATGAAAATAGGTAGCTGAACCTACGAATCACACGCACGCACATACACACACATACACACACACACACACACACACACATACATAAATGCACATTTACATACACATACATAAATGCACACATACACGCGCATACACATATTGCTTCTTGTAGCAATTTTAAATCATAGGGTCGACATTTTTTGATTTTTCAACAGAGGCTTCGTCTCTCTCATTCACAGTTAAATTTTATTTTTGTGACTTCAAAATATCCCAGCCGTTTGACGATGACAGATGACATTGCATTTTTGGCAATTTTATTAAGCGGTAAAATGTTAGTCTATTAACTTGAAGTTCAAATCAGCTGTAATCATATCGTTCTCTATTGTAGAGTGCTTCTTAAAGAAATGACTATGAAATGAACTCGAACTTGACTTTTTGGGTCGTTCTTATAAGGCGGTGGTTCTCAATTTTTTCTTCACCAAGGTTCAAGAAAAAAAAAACAGAAGACTCGATAATAATAAATTCTGTCGATTTGGAAATAAACTTTAATTAAAAATTTTAATGTATTACTTGAATTTAGAATAATATTATAATGTAAGAAAGAAAGATCATGGGAACAAAGTCAGTTTTTTTCCTTCAGATAAAAGGATGTCATTGGTAAAAGGATGTCATCGTGAACATTTGTTCACGTGTTCACGTGTTCACAATAATTTTTTTCTCACCGCACCGCCACCCTCACGGATTAATATTTTAGTTCTCATTTGAGAAGGCAAATTCCAACTATTCTGTTGTATTGCTGAAGTCATCCTTTTAAGACTTTTATTTGAGTCTAACAAATCCTTATACTTGGTTCTTTTGTTTATATCAGTCATAATTTTAATTACTAAACAAAAAGTGGTAAAACCGACCAGTTATATAAGTATCGAAATGAATTATGAATTGATATCTTAACAATTTCTGTTCTCTTTACAAGTTTCTGCTGCTGCAATGAATTTTTTTTATTCAATTTCACTTAAATCTACCGATTTCAGGAATTATTCATGTCATATGTGAGAAAAAGTGACAAGATTGCTTCCGTATCAGTTCAAATTAAAAAGATAGATAAACAATGTTTCAATTTGGATACAGGAACTTTGAATTACTTGTTGAAAGTGACTTATTTCAAGAATGACTGCAATATTTCGTATTCTTTAAAAAATGAATCGGTGCTATGTAAACACAGATGGAAATATCATTTTTACATGCATTGCTTTTTTAAACTTTTCTATTAATTCGTTTAAAATCTTCCTCTTCATAGAGATTTCTGCAAGAAAAAAACTTTAGCAGACGAAAAAGTGCCTTGAAACAATTTCATATTCTGTGCAATTCTTATGGAATTCAGTGAATGATGCCTGCTTTCAAGTGGAGCATTCATTTTTCAATTTTAATTTCTCTCATCCCTTCTATACATTTCATAACTTCTAATTGTTCTAATACTTCCCAGGAAATATTCAAATGTCACACGATCTTTCCTTTCATCATTATTTTATTAAAGACCAATTCTGCGAAAAAAAAGATGTGGAAGCTCTAAATTTTACTGATAAGTGAAATCAAAATCAACACGAATGTATCCATTTCTGGTAACAATTTGGGCATCATCCGCGATTGTCACATCATCTACGAGAGGTAGTGGTATACCAATTTTAAGTGCCGTTCCTCCAATTAACTTCACACCTTTTGCCATTATTTTTTCTAAAAATTCGAGCACCCTAAAACATCAAAATACGTAAAAATCTTTAGAATTGATAAACTACGATTGCAAGACTTAATTTCAACAAATGTAAGATAGAACCTAGCAATAGGTCTTAAATCACTTATTGCTTCTATTTATTAAACTGAAGCCTTGAAAGAATGGAAAAGAATGAGCTGAATCCTATTTTAAAATATAAAGAATTAAGTGATTTAAAATGACAAATTCAAGGAACAAAAAGAGACATCAGTTATTTTGCCAATTGAGAGCAAAACTAATACAGTGATGAAGAAAAATTAAGATATGGTAGAAAGATGTCATCGAGAAAATGTTCACGTAAAATCTAAAATTCAAAATCAAAAAGCGTACTGAACATTGAAATGTCCGATAGTTGAATCGTGCTCACGCAATATTATTGTAACATTACTGATAGTACCCACAACTTTCCTCTGTAAGATTGCAGGCAACGTATAAGTTGTTGAGTTCATCACTGAAGTGATAAATGTTAATTGCAGATAATTATAGTTAAATTTCTTCACGGGTACCCCCTCGTCGCCGGGGAGAAGCATTCGTGCCCTAATGAGGTTGAAATCTATGCTGGTCATGGTATATACCTTTGGTATTGGTTTCCAATGCCAGACAGATCTTAACTGATGGATCAAACAAAGTGTGTCCAGAGGCATGATGGGCTGGCTAACCTTCCGGCAACTGCTCTAGGAGAAGGACAACTCTAGCTCCAAATCCGCAGATGGAGTTCATCTAGCATTCCAAGGCCATCCATCTAA